ATTTTCATTTACTCCATCTTTGTAAGGAATGATGGATGGCTTGTTCCGTGCTCTGTGTTTTTCCTCTAGCTTTTTAGTGTCGTTGTAGTATTTAATATTTCCGTGTGCTGAAATTCCGTGATTTATGGGATGTCTTAAATGTTGATGCTAACTTTTTGAAATAAGTCAAGTTTTATCGGGTTTTTTCTACAACTTTCCAGTCCAGATTATTTCTTCCAAGGACGCTTACGTGTAATATGTTATTAAATTTTATTCAGTTTTGTTTTTAGTATTTACTTGTAGATATCAGACACCAGAGTAAGTGTTTCTCCCATCTAGGACTTCCTGACTGTCCGCATATTCATTCCTAAGGGTTTATTGTGATGTTGTCTAGAACTATGGCTAAAAACAATCAACGGGTTGCTATTCTCTATAGTATTTTGGATAACCCTCTCCCATCAACCAGTTAAACAAATACTGAGTATCTAGTTGTTGTGGATACCAGTGATATATTCAAAGGATTATGAGACGCAAGTACTTGGAAACCTGGCGTCAAGTCAAAACCATATAGAGTTAAATAATTGCAGATTTTTCAGCCAATGATTGTTACTTTGACAAATAACCGTCTGAAATCAATTTTGTTTTAAAGTAAGTTTTTGTCGTTATTTGTATCTCTCATAAATTCATTTGATCTTACAACTATTGTTATTGACCATAAAATGGTGTTTAAGTTTTGAGGATTATTTTGTACACTTGTTATATCTAGAGCTTAGATTCTTGATATACCGAGTAAAACTTGAGCATTCGAACGCTAGAATCCTCCAAGTCGCAAACGAGAAGACAGAAGACAAACGGAAGGAATGCTATTCCAAACAGTGTCAAATATGGTACAAAACTCCCAGCTATTTATAGTTTTTAGTAAAAACGAAATCATCATTATAGTCATCCAGTCCGCATACAGAGGTTTTTAGCATTTATCCAATAGGGAAGCTAGATGCAGAAACTCTGGAATATTCTTCCGAAAGATGATTAGATGGAACATCATCGGCTCTTTCTGAGCTTCTTAGAGCTTCTTCAAGTTCACCCGTGGGCCGCCCTCACCCGCTTTGTATATATTGGTTACTGTTATCACAGTCCAGTCGCTACAAATAATTGGATTGTCAAAGCTTCTTCCTGTCAACATGAATATTGTCAGCGCACATAAAAATTTAACAATGGAATAACAATGATGATGAAAATTTATACATGTGGCCGTAAAGCTTATGTGAACTGATTCTAGTTTTTGAACGAGGAATTGTTCTAAGATGACTTTCTATTTTGTGACCTTCTATATTCACTTTTGTTATTTTCCTCCATCCATTGTTCAGTGTTAACCGTCAACGTTGATATGTAAGTTGTTTGTTACCTATCTGTATTTTATGCGTTGTATTTTCTCTTATATATAAGATGATAAATACGTTTAAATGACTTGTTTCTGTCTACTACATGACTACTATCGATCAAGTGTGATAGAACCGAGCTACGTATTGTCTTGGCAGTACCTTTTCCTAACCACGAGGGGAGGTGTTGTTATGAGATGACTACCTATTCTGTAAGGTTTTACGTGGAAGTCACATCGTAGTTCACACTGACTCGTCCCATCGTGATAATCAGCAATACGATACTTGGCGCTTCCGAAGAACATATTAGATACAAGAAGCGGGAGGTTACATATAGCGACCACGCCCGAATGGTTGGGTCGTGCTAAACTGAACAATTAGCCACAAATTCACCACTTTTGACCTTCTTTAAGTGTTAAATAAATGAATGCAGATCTTCTCCGTAGTTATGTGTTTAGCTTCAAAGTTCGCGTGGTTAAGAACCAATACCGCTACAGTCCCATAAAACTGATTCAACGGGCGTCTTCTGCTTTTACGTAATTTGTATCAATGTTTAATGTTAAATAGAGTTCCCAAGAAGTATAGATTTTGAACTCTACAGTTCGGGAGACGGTGGTTGTGTCTTCCGTTATTTTTTCTGCAAATGGCTTGATACATACAAAAGAGTAAAAGGCAAATAACTGAACATCAAGATATTCCGAACCATTTCAAGGAAATACATAAATATAATTGATAATTTTTCTGTTCCACGTAAGTGTTTGGCCTCCAGAAAGGATTGGTCGTCTGGAAGGAAATAGACATAGTGTAGGCATCTTGTGAACGAAAAAGTATAAAAACAAAACAAAAAACTCTTTTTGAATGCATATATGTTAATATGTGAATTTACCTAGTTGCTTGAAGTCAACTCTTATTCAATCGACCTAAGCTGTTACAAGTTGATGAAATTAGTTAAGCTAGACCATTCTGTCATCATGGTGGAAGCCAAATCCTAGCTTTGATTGAGAGAAGCTAATACCATTCGTAAGGCAGGGAAAAACCCAGAAACCCAAAGGAATGGAGAAGTAGCTTTATTACCTCGAGAAACCATGAGCTTGACCATCATCGATTACATGTCCGATTAAGGTGAAATGTACGAGTCAGTTAGTTGACCCTTGAAATCCATAAGAAAAGAGATGGTGGTTGGTTTAGTTTGCCGAAGTCCAAACCGTGAGGTGGATCGGCTTTAAGTAGATGAACTTAACATATGGTCTTCAAATGCTTAATGTTTAAACTAAGAAGTTCTTAATACACCCTCAGTAGATCGTATAAAATGTGACGGATGTGTTATCAGGAAATTCTTCGGAACGAAAACTAGTTGTCGAAGTTATGACATGAGCCCTAGTGCAGCATGTGAACTAAGCAACTAGGTACGACCCGCACACAAAATCATCTTTATTAGATTCCATATTGACCCATAATATACATGATGTCACAATCCTTGATGATAGGCCACATCTGGGTAGATGTGACCACGCCGTTATAGTCGTTGATGTCCACATCGTTGTCAGTGTGTCACCACACGCCAAGGTAAACGTCTGAAAGAAAATACACAAGAAATTATACACTGATACTGCATTAGATATAATAATAGAGACGTAGTCCCTCACTGAAACGTCTCAGTAGGTAATCAGAAATGCATACACAAACGTTTTTGCACCACACATTCTTTGTATGAATAAGAACTTGCTAAGGAGTTCATAGGACACTCTAGATGATTATAAGCTCCTGTCTTCAAAACAGGAAGAAGACACATACCTGAGAACTATCGATGCATAAACCTACCCAAAGAGGTTGTTAAAATTTTTGAGATTATTCAGGTGTTGTTTACGGATCCAGACGAAAAGCTGGATCCTTTGTGAAGAGTATTATGGTTTCATGAAACGTTGTTCATGGTTAACAAACTCACTAGTAACTGGTGTACGTCGATGCGGCCTCAACGATCAGATTCTATTAATAGATGTAGTCGTCATCGACTTCGATAAGCTTTTTGTTAATCAAGTGATATCGGAAGTGAAAGTAGGTTACTTATGTGGATAAAGGATTTGTCAGTTAAGTGTCAGGAATGAGTATGACTAAGCCACTTGTTGTGTAGCTGGGAAAGTTTGCTTGACGGAGTTCTCCGAGGTGCAGTTTATGGGCCAATGTTATTCCTCCTGTATATAGATGATCTTAATACTCTTCTAACATCATCGGTGATGATGACGATATCTGGATACGGATATCGATGGAGAGCGAATTTTGCAGCTTAGAGATTGGAAATGATTCGGAGAAATTGTCTGAGTTGTCTAGAACTTGCAAGTTGTCTATGAATACCTCTAAGTACATTTTGATTCATATTGGTCATCAAGGTACAGAGACGTATAGGATGAACAACATCGAGCCACCTGTTGTCCAAATACACTATTCGACGACTTAAAAAATTACTACATACTACCATGAGGTGGCCACCGAAGGTTTTAGAGCTCCTTGGTCAATGAGTAGAGCTTGCATTCATGTCCATATTCAGACCTATTTGACTTTGTCTTCAGTGTTCGTTGGTGCTTAACTCGATTAGTGAATGGAAGCTGCTGGCCCTTACCTGGGATGCGACAACGAACGGTTGAAAAGGTTGAGGAAGTGCAAGTAAACTGATTCTTGGTAAGGCGAAGCCCTCCTGTTATGATAGACTGGCTAAATGAAATCTATTTCCGTTGTCATATAGAGGTACAGATGTGACTTGATCACAAGTTTTGGGTTAGTTGATGGTAAATCTGCGTCTGATATGCCCTAATGTTCTTGTTTTTCAAATCAGAGGATTGACGAGGACACTCTAAAAGTGTTTACAACCCCAGAAAAAATTGCTTATTAGATGACTATCGACTTTCCTATTGATTTACTAACTAGTGGAATTGGTCCCCTTCACACGTGATAGAAGCTCTGTGTTCATACCGAAGAAATTTGGGAGAGCTGAGAGACTAGCATTGCCAAGACCAACACAGGTCACCTGGTATCCTGTCCTTTACAAACCGCAACTGATAATTTTTCCAAATATAGAGCACTCCAATGGGCGGAAAATAAATTGGCTAACAGATCATAAGGTGAGCAAATTCGAGCCTATTTTAGTTTTTCAATACTCTGTCTATTTCGGTTTTTAATTTACTAGAAACCTTTTGGTGGGTGTGTTTTGTTGTAACCTTAGCTATTCTAAGCACTCCTGGACACTACTTAAATAGTAAGCTAGGCTTAGTCTCAACAGAAACCTTAGGGGGAACTTCTGAAAATTGGAATCACGACATAGCTGTAGGCACACCTAATACTCTGCAGAAGTAATCCGATTCTGGAATTCATTGGTGGTCTAGGTGGTTCAAAAGAATTCCCAGGGGTTGCAGAGAGGCAGATCAACATATTCTTGTGTGTTCAGGACACTACTTAATCATGTTTTGCCAATATTTCTCTTCGGTTTTTCAAATATATCTAGGTTTTTTACTGTAAGTATCGGCAGTCTACCCGTATAAGACACAAAATCTCGTTAAGATAAAGCCTCTTCTATTACACCTACAACCATTTGGACCCTTTTATTTTATATTTGTACTGTAGATACATTGGGGCTTGAATGGTATATTTGTATTCAGCGGGCATGTGTAGGTCAACGCTGTCATGCCAGGTGATTAATTGTTGGTTTTATCGATCACGTCTTATGGTAAGTTTCATGTTTATCCAGAGAGTTTATAATAGGTTTCTGGCCTTAAATTTTAACCTTTTGGATTAAACCTACCAATGAATTACTCAATGGCACCTTCCGAAATGTCTCAGTAGTACGTTTTCAAAGAAAAACATATTTTATAATTAGTTCAAATAAAATAAATCAACATACTGTATCCAAATGCCTTCGTAGGTTTACGCAGGGATTAATTTGTGTGTGATGTATCGTTAGTAATTCTAGTGTTGTAGATGTATTTAAATGTGCCCAGGTTGATAATCATTCAGCTCTTCGCTTTGTTGAGAAACTTCTTGGACTGACTATCATGCTAGATGTGTATGTTGTGTTTTTCCAAAGTAAACGTGGTTTTATAGTTATGCTTCTGTATGTATACCTTTTGTGTATTTAGAGTTATCTTGTTTTGCTGGTGTAGGTTTGGTATCAAATCTGAAACTAGTAAAGGTACTTAAATATTAGAGTCTTACTGACAGTTGTCTATTTCTTGTTCGTCTCAAAGGTACTGTATGAAATGGGAGAGATGTTCACCGGTGCTTCGTCGTTCCTACTTATACCTCAATGAGTGCAGTTCGAATGTTGTGGCGGTCCACATGAGCTCATCAGATTTTTCTGTGCATCCATTTATTTTGCCTTCTTAATTACTCACTTGTGAACCTAAGCATTTTTTGGGTGCGCACGATATGTATATGTTTACATACTTGTATTGCTTACATGATTAATAATAATTGAGTAGTCCTATCGTTCTCTAAAAGTATATTACCGGACTCCAACGCTTTTTATATTCTCAGCATCGTATGTTTCATCTGTTGCTTATTTGAATGGGTGAAATGTTTTCTGAGTACAGCATGTATTCGAGAATTTGTATCTACATTGTATTAACGCGGTCAGTTGACAGAATATATAGAGCGTATATAGAATACATGTCCAGTATTTATTATTTATTTATTTTATTTGAACACATAAATATTGGTACAGGGAGGCACCAAATATATATGCGCCACACAAAACAATGATAATTTGAAGGGAAGGAGAAAAAAAAGGTAATGAACGTGGGGAATTATGAAAAAAAAGAGCGAGAGAACAATGATGGGGAAAACGGAAAGGTACAATCAGAAGAAATCTTTCAGTTAAGGAAGATACAACCACTTTTTATGAAGAAAGTAAAAGAAGGTTACAGCAGGATCGCCATTGGCTTCTATTCCGAGCCATATCTGATAACGTCTCTAGCCACTGCGTTACACCGTCTCTCGGACCCCAGCCAGGGAGTCGTAAAGGACCAACAGAAGCTAGCCCTTTGCAGCTTTCTTTCATACCACGATACCATGTCATATACTGACCGCCTCTCCGCTTTTTCCAACCAGTCCCAGAGTCGGCAAATAATGCACGACGAGGAATTCTCTGGGACGACATTCGTAGAACATGTCCAAGCCACCGAAGTCGGTGTTTCAAGATGGTGACACCAATTTCATTATCGTCTCTGTGACCGAACACACGATGCCGGACCTCTGCATTACTGACATGGTGTTGCCACTTGATGCCAGAAATCCTTCGGAGACAACGATGATCAAACATAGAGAGTCGTCTAACATCCTCAACTCGGAGAGGCCAGGTTTCACAAGCATAGAGCAAAACTGCTCTCACCGTCGCGTTGTAGATCCGATCTTTTACAGCCAGACTAACATCACGAAGATGCCAAAGGTGGCCCAGATTGGCATAAGCCGCTCTGGCTTTCACTATACGTGCACTGATCTCATCACTCAGGCCATCACCAGCACTTATGCAGCTACCTAGATACACGAACGTCTCGACCACTTCTATCTGCTCACCATCCAGAGTGAGTACAGGATTAGAATCCTGCCAGTCTTGTAGGAGTACTTTGCACTTCGAAGGTGCGAAGCACATACCATACCTACGGACATTGATTGCCAACTGATTAAGTGCGGATTGCATGGCTTGAACATTCTCGCACAGTAAGACAATATCATCCGCATACTCAAGGTCGAGAAGTCTTTCTCCAGGTAACAGATCCACACCACCATTACTTACATCTATCAGAGCTGTTTCCAGAATGTCATCGATGGCAGAGTTGAAGAGGAATGGTGAGATTGGGCAACCCTGCCTAACTGCACTGCTTGAATGGAATAGTGGAGAAAGGTGGTTGTATGCCCTCACTCTGCCTGAGGTGTTTGTGTATAGGGCTTTTAGGATGTTAATAAACTTCTCAGGCACACCCTTCTTCAATAGACAATCCCAGAGAACAGTTCTGTCCAACGAATCGAAGGCAGCCCTGATATCAAGAAACACTACGATTGTTGGTCTTTGATAAGTATGACGGTGTTCTAACACTTGGCGGAGGGTGGAGATATGATCAATACATCCTCGACCAGAACGAAACCCAGCCTGCTCCTCGCGAATCAATCCTTCTCGGGTTCTGAACAACCTACGAAGTATGACGGAAGCCAGTAGCTTAGACGCAATTGGAAGTAGACTTATCCCCCGATAGTTGTTACAAGAACGACGTGAACCCTTTTTAAAGATAGGGACAACTATCGACTCATTCCATGACGTTGGTACACTCTATAGTTCCCAGACCTTTGTAAACAACGTCGTCAGTCCCTTAGTCAGAAAGTCACCACCATTTTTAAAAAGAGCCGGAGGTAAGTCGTCTGGGCCCGGTGATTTGTAACGTTTCAAGAGTTGGAGTTCCTTGCGGACTTCCGCCTCATTTGGTGGATCAGTCGTCACCGGCCATGGAGGGCAGGACAGTCTGACCGATGTTGCCGGAGCAGCAGGCCAGTTGAGCTGCCCTTCGAAGAATTCTGCCCATCGTCCAAGACGTCGATGGATGTTAGTGATTGGCGTTCCGTCATCCTCGCAGATTGTTTCGCTCACACCAGACTTCTTGCTGCCAGTGGCTCGGATGAGTTGGAAGAGCTTCCGGTAATTACCAGATGCAGCTGCTGCTTCCAGCTCATTAGCACGCTCCGACCACCAGGCTTCACGGTCCTTACGCAAACTTTGCCCGATTTCATTACGCAACATCCTTCGTCTGTGGTCAAACTCACGGTCACCCGGAGTAGACCGACGGGCTTCAATCAGTTGTAAGGAATCAGAAGAAACCCAATGTTTGTAAGCGGGACGTTTCGCAAACCCACAACAGACTTGACCCGCCATTTTCATGGCGTCATGCAATTGCAACCAATGCTCATCTATACTTTTCGGTGGAATGGTAGCTAGCCTAGAAGCTAGCTCGGTTCGGTACTTACTAGCAACAGAAGTTGCAGCCAGCTTGCTAACATCAGTCATTTGGTAGCGGTTACTTCGTTGTCCACTGAAAAGTAAGGTAAGATTGGCGCAGACCAGGGCATGGTCAGATTCCAGATAGGTACTCCAAAAGGAGTGGCAGTCTTGTACACAACCACGCCAGCGGTAGCTGATCGCGATGTGATCAATCTGTATCCAGGCTTGAGATGTAGAAGGGGGACGCCAGGTGGCACATCGGCGATAACTGTGCCGAAAGTTAGTGCTAGCCAGAAACAGGTTGTGGTCTGTGCATAGTTGCAGTAGACGTTCCCCGTTATCTGTCCTGCGACCAACGAGTCCCCATCGGCCACCCAAACGACTCTCTTCTGTGCCTAGACGCCCGACCTGAGCATTCAAGTCTCCAGCCAGTACTACAATATCTGTCGAGCGCACTTTCTGTAGAAGAACAGTTAACTGGTGGTAGAACTCATCCTTGATTGCATCCGGGCTGCAATCTGTCGGGGCATAGGCGGAGATGACGAAAAGACACCGTTTCTCATGCCTATTTCTTCTCACTTTGATGGAACTTTCTAATCTAACAGCACATAACCGACTGTTAATGGGGATCCAGTCGACTAGTGCTGCCTCAGCTCTAGCGCTTAGTGCGACACCAACGCCAGCAAGACCAGACGAAGATGCCACAGGGTCCCCGGATAAACGCACATAAGTAGAAATAAGAGAGGGTGAATAAATGACGTGGTAAAATAATAATAATAATAGTACGAGTCATTTCAATGTTAATCAGAGAGAAAGGAATATTTTCCATAAGCAAGTAGTTCATCATGGTTTTAGTGCGTGGGCTGAGATACTGCCCGGGTGCCCAAACCGAAGCAGGTGGTTTTCTTAGGGGGCCACACCCCGAGCCTTCGACCTAAAGGTCTGATCCACAAGGCAGTGGAGCATCGTAAGGAGATGTAGTCCCATGGTAGCCGGTGACCAACAATTGGTTCATACGCCATTTGTTCTCGCAGGATACTGGAGCCCATGTGCACCATTGAATTGGGATCCGGTTATAGCGCCGGACATTCGCTTTCCGTCCTCTCATTTTCGTAAACAACACCCACGCCACGAGAAGGCAGTGAGTAGGACTTCTCTGGCAGAGGCTGTATACGCGTGGCCGTGTGAGAGTATTTCGAGAGGGAGGGCGAACCCTCCCCGCTCTCGGCCATACCAAGGCATTTGGGGCACATGTCCAGTTATCACCATGTAATCATCTTCCTCATTCATGGAGTTTATACAGAAGACTAAAGTGGTGAGGCAGCTAAAAAAATATATACATAGCCTCAAACACCATTTGGAAACGATGAGTTTTACAGGAAGTTTTATGATCTTCAGAAAGCTGGCACTTGAACGTAGTAGTTGTAACGGGTGATTCCAACGCACTAGTCGGTGGGTCGAGGTCAACCGAGGAACACTTAGATGTATCTTCTGGTGTCATAGATCCGTCTGCTGCGACTGCTCAGACGACCGATTCTTCTTACCAGGCATAAGGGAAGACGTCTAACCTGGCGATCAATACAAAAGTGGACACGACTATGTCACCATAAGGTGTCGTTGAAAAGACTGCTACTACTTCTGGAGCACATGCTTGGGATCCATACCCTTGTGAAGACATGCATTTCTGTGGGTTTTATTGAACGTAAGAAAATCACAACCGGATTTTATTTATTTGCTCACTAAACACGAATGGTTACTGGTTCAACCAAGCACTGAAGTAATTATGCGTCGCACTAGGAAATGAAGTTATAATACAACAGATGAAAAAGGGAGTATGCTCAAAAACAAACGAACGAGAACAATAATATATAATTGCAGAAACAGTTAAGGTAAACTAAGTTAAAGCAACATATATAAGCGAACAATATTGTTTTCGATTAAATCCTCATCAGGCTCTACTCTAATATACAGCAGTATTTATATACATATACGAAGCCCCCAAATGCCCTAATACCGTCGAGAGTGAAGAGCGTTCGCTCTCCCTCTCGAAATGCTCTCACATGGCTACGCGTATATCGCCTCTACCAGGGAAGTCCTACTCACTGCCTCCTGGTGGTGGGGGTGTTGTTTACAGAATTGAGAGGACGAAAAGCGAATGTCCGGCGCTTTAACTGGGTTGCTGGACACGGAGAGTTCACCTGAGGGAGTCGGAAAACCCTGATTCCAAACCAATGGTGTAAATGGGCTCCAGTACCCTGAGGCAACAAATGGCGTATGAACCAATCGTTGGTCACCGGCTACCATGGGACTGAATCTCCTTACGGTGCTCCACTGCCTTGTGGATCAGACCTTTAGGTCGAGGGCTCCGGGTGTGGCCCCTTAAGAAAACCACCTGCTTCGGTTCGGGCACCTGGGCAGTATCACAGCCCTCACACAAATCAAATAAAATTTGTTTGGCTCATATGTATCTGGTGCCACTGGTACCAGTATATGTGTTCAAATAAATAATAAATAAAGCATGTACGGATTTATTAAACCAATCAAGGCAGTTTATATGATAATAATAATAGTGGAATAGATTACTTAAATTAAGTTAAATGAGTCTCTTTTGTTAATTGAATTATGGATCAACACTTTCTGAATTGTGCTCGTTTGAGAGATTTTCCTAATACGAAATCGGATATACGCCAACAGTTTAGACCAGGCGCTTAATTTACAGAACCTCAATGGTAATCTATTGGTCGACTGTCAACGAAGTAGAAAAGGCATAGGTAATCTCACCTTAGTTCTTTAGTTGTACGCGACGGCTTTCTGGTGCACTACCTTTCGGAAGCTTGTCTTCTTCTATGTTTAGGGATTTCGTGGACTAGGGTCACATTAGCTTAAATACATTTACTAAGTCTACCTCTCCGCTTCCGAATAAAAGACCTTATTACTGTACTAGTAAAAACTACTCAAATTATTAGTGATCCACGAATGCATTGTATTCTATTAGTATTTTAGTGGTATATTACCAATTGCATATAAAGTTCAATTATTATGTTTAGTGGTGAGGTTTTACTTCTTTGTTCCATTAGAAACATTAGTTTGTTTTCGAAGGAATATGGAACTCAAATCGAATGAATATAGCTATAAAACACTTCAGATAATTTTGAGTTGACCTTTATTTTGTTGTATGGGTTTGTATGCACGTTCACTATTATATTCGTGATATGTACATGGTTTTATTTATTTTCGTTCTATTTGTAGTCGATTAATGATTTGCTTTCTTTCTTGATTGTGGTTGTATACATGGTTATTATCTGTTTGTTGCTCGCCAAAATATGAGTGTTTTTTATTGTACTCTTCAGTTTTGAACCGTTATTATCACACTAACTTCCTTTTTATTCGTTTTTAGCTAACTAATCCGATAAATTTAGTTATAAACCATTGTTACATTGATATTTCAAGTTCCAATCAATCTTTATTTTAATCCTGTATCGATAATCTGTCCATAATACATCCACTTAGTTAATGTTTTAGTAGTTATTCACCAAATAATCGACAAAACTATTGTACACCTAGGACATGTTCATCAACAAATCACATGTTCTAGTCATGCCAGCAGTTATCCAACTCCTACAATTTATTCATCATTTCTATTTTGATTGTGTCTAGTTCAATCATCAAATCTATTCAAGAAAGAAGCTTTCACTTACTGCAACAACCAAAAGTAAATCTCTCACTGCGTCATCATTGATAGTTCGAAGCCTGTTTTAAGGAAAAGTTTTTTCGCAATACTCATGTCATTTTGATTAATTATGGGCTATCATCCTAACTTTCGACGAATCGTGAAAATTATCCACTAACCACTGTATGGTATCTTCTATATTAAACATTCTTCCCACAACATAAACCAACAATTCTACTGCTATTTCCATAACTAATCATCTTCATCGACACTATATTTATTTTTGTGCATATTCACTGTTCGTTGCAAAATTTTCATGATTATCAGGTATATTCTTTTTTACCTGTCGTAAATTCTGTGTATCATTAATAGCCAGTTCGTCCCAATATTGACCATAATTATCTCTTTACTCTCCAGTCAGTTATTTATCTTATTCATTCCAATTTTTCAATTACAATGAATCCGTCTACCAGTTTACCGTTAAATGTGCTGTCAGGATTTACTGATAATATTAATCATACTATTCGAGAGGTATTTGATAATGATTATTATGAAATCAACGGCTTGCTCGATCCATTTAAAAACGGGACGCAAAACAATGTGCAACAACATGGTAATGAACTGTACGTTCAAAAGTCGATGAATGATGGTTTAGACGAAACGACTAGTCTAAATTTACAAATGCTACAAACCGATCAGGATTCATCGTTTATACAATCTTCGGAGTCAGATATCGAATTGCATAATCTAGAAGAATTATTAGCTCGAACATCGATTAGTGATGTTTACTTAGGACCTGTTAAAAACAATGATGGTAAAATCATTCCTTTAGATGTTGAACGTCGTGCAATTCTCAATAATAGTTTGGCATCATTGCCATATTCTTCAACATCTCTTGCTTTTTCTCCACCTGGTATACAAATTATAACAGAAATGTGGACAACGTTTCTACGAGATCGTTTGAGTCATTGTAATAGCCGTATACACAATATGTCTGTAGATAATCTACGCACCTGTCTATATGATCATAGTTTAAATCAATTGGGAAACACTACCGTATTAAAACGTCGTTTACAAGAGTTTGTGCGACGAGCGCGCGTAGCACAATCAATTGATCACAATATTGAAATCCAAATCAGTGATGATGATGATGGAGATGATAATGAGAATAGTGGTTTCAGCTACGGTGGTCATGATAGTGTTCTTGGCGAAGTGAATCTAAACTCTCAAACAACTAACAATTGTGGGAATGATAGACACAGATTGAGAAATCCATCAGTTACAACGACGACAAAACTACTAAAACCTGTTATATTGACACCGGATACATTCTATGACTATTTATTAATCATTGACCTGGAAGCTACTTGTGAATCAAAAGAGAAGATAACCACTGATGCCGACTATCCACATGAAATCATTGAATTTCCCATATTACTATATAGTACAAGGTTACGCAAGTGTGTCAGTGTATTTCATGCTTATTGTAAGCCAAGATTACATCCAGACCTTAGTGAGTTTTGTACAGATTTAACACAGATTCAACAAATCCAAGTAGATAACGCCCAACCATTTCCTTATGTTTTGTTACAGATTGAAGAATGGCTGTTCAAAAGACACAAACTGGCCAACAAGAGATGTGCCATTGTATGTGATTGTAGTGCAGATATGAGTAAATTTATGCGTATTCAATGTCGTCTGGCTAACATATCTATACCTAGTTGGGCCAATATATGGATTAACTTGACCAAATCATTTCGCGCTTTCTACAAGTTTCCATCACGCTATCGTATAACATTGAATGTTATGCTACATGATTTGGGTTTATCTTTTGTTGGTCAGCGACATCGTGGTTTAGATGATGCTATTAATATATTACGTATCGTACGCGTATTATTGTCTGATGGGTGTTTGCTACGTGTCAATGAACGCATTGATTTTGATAGACCTCCTTCTTTTGTCTCCTCTGTGCCAAGGCATGTGACGCAGGTCACATCAGGTTTGATGGGGAGCAAACTGGTTTTACTATCACCATCTCCACGAAAAAACAAATCAAACATTACCGGGATTAATCGTCACAATCGTACTGTTGGAAACAAACACGTAACTTCAAGTGATCTTGATGACAGCAATCGAGAATCGTTATTATGGTTGGCCAGTATTCGAAAAACTCGGATAAATAGAGATAATTAAGCATGTTCAAATTTTCATATTTCGTATATACTCTCTTTCAAAGTTAAGCGTATGTATGCTTATTTTGATGTTTCTATTATTTAAGTACTATGAATTTACTGCGCAAAAATATATGCAGTTGAAAACTGGTAAAATGACCAGAAATTAAGTAACCTATTCGGTTGGATTATTTGCCCCTAAATATTTATAAAAAATAGTTATGTGGAGATTTATTTTCCGTGTGCTTATGATTTCTCTCCCTAATCTTATGTTTTATTCTCAGCTTCCTACCAAAAAGCCTGTATGATTGATTGTCTCAGCTAAAAGGGAATGATGATAATAAAATAGCTAACCAAACTTTTATTATTTGTTTTTGGCTGTCTGCTTTCTATCAGTTTTCTTTTAACATTAAATTACAACGATGTGTAAGTCTAATTATTTTTGCTGTCTTAAAAAATATTCAGGTTTTATTCTATACACAAGAATTTTGTGATGACCTATGGATTAATGTCAAAAAACCCTTTCTTCCTATGCTCTTTATTTGCATGTATTAGCTTCTTTTATTTAGAACTTTTTGTTTCAATACTTTTATTATGAACTGATGCGATGTAATATGAAGTAATTGAATTATCTATATGTCAGAATAATAATCATAGTTGTTTATTGATACGTTCTCTTTGACTGCAGCTATCACGGATAATTCAAATAGAAGTTCATTTGTACATAGTTCTTTACGCGTTAAGCGAACAGTTATAACTTAATAGGTTTTATTTTGAGGTTGGGAGAATTCCGTTGTGATGAAATACATTTCCTGATATGGTTGCCTTAATCTCTAAACATTAATTATGACTTTCGTGAAATCGTAGCCAAATTGCCTTGAGATCACACTAGCCCTAAAACTCACGGAATTGTGATCTGATGCAAAATTTTAGTTTCGTCACCTTTCCTCAACTTACATCATTCCGGATCAGATTTTTACGTTGATGAGTTGTGTTTACGTAAAGTATCCAAACTATGTCAGTTGATTAATATTTACAGCAATGTGGCATAGATTCTTCAGGTACATACGTTACCGAATAACTACTGTATAGATATTTTCGACTTTTAGAGACAGTGCTTCAATCTTAGAATAGACTACTGTACAAACTGAGTTTAAATGTAAATGGTAAAACCAATTCACATGAGGAATGGGTAATGTAGATAAGTATAGTGAAAGCCAGAGTGGATTAGGTGGATATGGGCCATACTTAGAACATTCTCGATGTTGGTCTTGCTGTAGAAGATCAGATTTACGACGAGTCGGTGAGAGCTGTTTTGCCTCAGAGTTGAGAATGATATGCGACTTTCTGTGTTTGGTCATCGTTGTCTCCGAAAGATTGTTGACATCCAATAACAACACCATGTTAGTAATGTAAAGGTTCAAGAACATGTATTTAAACACAGTGACGATAGGTCAATTGATGTCGCTGTTGTATCCGAAAACGATTTAATTATGGGTAACTTTTGGGAACTATTTATAGACTGTTGTTATACATATATACTTATTGTATAACTGTCAAGTAACTAGATTATATATATTTATTTTCCTTCTATCATAAGATTTTATTTGACCTGTCCACTGCCATTATACGATTTACTATTCTTAAGTTTTTTTTATTTTTATTTTATTTTAACATATAAGTATAGGTACAGGGAGGCACCAAATACATATGCGCCACACAAATCTCAATTGATTTGTGTGAGGGCTGTGATACTGCTCGGGTGCCCAAACCGAAGCAGGTGGTTTTCTTAAGGGGCCACACCCCGAGCCTTTGACCTGAACGTCTGACCCACAAGGCAGTGGAGCATCGTGAGGAGATGCAGTCCCATGGTAGCCGGTGACCAACGATTGGTTCATACGCCATTTGTTCCCGCAGGATACTGGAGCCCATGTGCACCATTAACAATAACGGGGCGGATTTGCATGCATATAGCGTACAATTCTCTTTGAACCTAGCACACAACAATAGCATCATGCACTGTCCCATCGCCCTTGGCAGATCAGGCAACTCGAAAGTTACGAGAACACCATCAGGGCATACGACAGGCTAGGTACCCCGGTCAGGGAAATAATAACCACTGGAGCCTAGGGTAATAACCACCAAGCCAGGGTACATGCAGTCCAGCACGAAGCCAGGTGCATGCCATATTCAACCACTGGAGCCTAGGGTAATAACCACCAAGCCAGGGTACATGCAGTCCAGCACGAAGCCAGGTGCATGCCATATTCAACCACTGGAGCCTAGGGTAATAACCACCAAGCCAGGGTACATGCAGTCCAGCACGAAGCCAGGTGCATGCCATATTCAACCACTGGAGCCTAGGGTAATAACCACCAAGCCAGGGTACATGCAGTCCAGCACGAAGCCAGGTGCATGCCATATTCAACCACTGGAGCCTAGGGTAATAACCACCAAGCCAGGGTACATGCAGTCCAGCACGAAGCCAGATGCATGCATGATTATATATTTTTGGGTTATGATAATGATCCTTCCGCAGGTTCACCTACGGAAACCTTGTTACGACTTTTACTTCCTCTAAATAGTCAAATTAGGTCATCTTCTCAGCATCAGTCGAGCGGCAAAGCCACTACAACGACACCAATCCAACGACCTCACTAAACCATTCAATCGGTAGTAGCGACGGGCGGTGTGTACAAAGGGCAGGGACGTAATCAGCGCAAGCTTATGACTTGCACTTACCAGGAATTCCTCGTTCACGGGGAATAATTGCAAGCCCCGATCCCAGTCACGACGGTGATGAAACAGTTTGCCCAACCCTTTCGGGCCAGGTTTCCAGACTCGCTGGCACCGTCATTGTAGCGCACGTGTGGCCCCGGACATCTAAGGGCATCACAGACCTGTTATTCTTAAGTTATTCTCAATTTATTTCTTACAGTCTTCCACACTCAACCACTTTTGACTTGATCTTGTATAATTGTTATTTTCTATTTTATGGAGTGTTGCGGTCTGGTTCGCTTGCATATAAACTATGTATTTCTGAAATATATTATTCATACAGTGTAGACTGAAATTGCCTTTTGAACTCAACGGGCAGGGCTAGGCGGGAAGAACTAATAAGGATTCAGAGTTGACTTAAAGCTGCTAGCGTGTCATTGGTTTAGCAGTTGTTTACTGCAGTGGTTTATTGGTTTAGGCGTACAACTTTCAGTCAATGTAGGTAAGTTCCAGGTTCGAATATTACTTTGATTTGAGCGACGGGGCAGTGTCATTAGCCCTCGTACCTCAACTATAGTTCGTACCCAAGTACCTAATCGAGCCGGTTAATTAAAAATTTTCATTTCCTAACAGTAACCCCCATCATTTTAGTTGAATAGTGATCTTTTTCCTGCCCATATATTCATGTTAAATACACCAACTACATATAGGTTCCATATGACACAATGAACCTAACCAATAAAAAGGATAAAGAAATATGATAGAATGACAATCACACAAACAAAAGGAGAACACACATTTTATGTTGTAGTATATGTCTGTCTTACCAAAGATTGACAGATATATTATGACGTGATGATGACATTGAACGCATTAATATACTCTTGGCATTGATACCATAATTAGTCATGATGATTAGTGGTTTGGAAGTGAAATAACCAAATACCATATTTGGTAAATTACAAAAAGAATACAACACAAAACATTAAAGCAGATATTACTATACAGTTTCATATGTTAATGTCGCCAAATTTAAGAGATAAAACACAATTAACTAAAGACCAAAATAGGACAAAGATAAAAGTTTTTTTCAGCCGATTATTAATTGGTTATAATGTACATACATACACAAACTTTTTCGTAAGATAAGAAAATTTCTGGTCAATGAAGAAAATAAGTGCATAATTCTTTGAAATAAACGGACTAAATGACTATGAAAAAATCCGATGTGGGAGAGGATAGAAATATTTATATGCATATCATTAAATTAAGTCATTGAATAATCAAATATCATGAAATAAAGCTACTCATTTCCATGTCATCTATATACACACTAATAAATATCGGAGATTTTAATGTGCTGATTTCAAATTAATAGATGTATAAAACACTTGATACTGGTATGTATTTCACTGGCTAAATAACAGGTGTTGTGAGGTCTGTTGGAAGAAGGAACAAACGTATTTCAATTACTCTGTACAATTTTATTGTTGCTGTTCTCAATCAATAATACTAATCTCCATTTTTTTGGATGATGTTTCGTCATGGTTGTTAAACGAAATCCCACAGAATTGGAGCATAGAACAGAAGAGACGGAAAGCGGTCGGGAGTAAATAGAGAAAAACAAGTCATTCGATAAAATAGTCTAAACTTATGTACAATATGATCCAGTTACTTACATTGGATCGATTGGTTGAGGTGGTGGCCAGTTATTAATCAGATGATGTAATGGACGAAAAGTAGTAGTACTTGGTTTGTAGTTGAAATTTTTGTTATAGCAATCAGAACCGACTGTAACAAAAAAAGAAAAACATTTTAGAAGAAGTGCAGAAAGGTGAGAGGGGAAAAAACTAAACAAGTAAATCAACTTCATTCATCAAAGTAATTGAGAAAAAAGTCAATTAGTGAAGGGTTGGTCTATATATATAGATATATCATTGACAGTGCAATCTTACTTTTAATCGACAATTTGATCAGCTATATTACCATTATTATTGGGTTAAACTTTATCATTCGTATGGATAAGGACTTAGGTTCTTGCCGTATAATCATCCTGTGATACCAATAGAGGGATTAGTTTGACTAATATAGCATCTAAAATAATAGCCTCAATAATTATCGGACGCTTAACTAGGACTCGTGAACTGCAAACACGAGAAAATCAGGTTGGCTTCAGACTTGGTCATGGCTGCATCGACCACATATTCACCATTCGTCAGGTTCTGGAACACAAATGCCCTGGTACGGCCGAGAGTGGGGAGAGTCCTCTCTCCCTCGCGAAATGCTCTCACATGGCCATGCGTATATAGCCTCTGCCAGGGAAGTCCTACTTACTGCCTTCTCGTGGCGGGGGTGTTGTTAACAAAAATGAGAGGACGAAAAGCGAATGTCCGGCGCTTTAACCAGACCCCAAACCAATGGTGCGCATGGGCTCCAGTATCCTGCGGGAACAAATGGCGTATGAACCAATCGTTGGTCACCGGCTACCATGGGACTGCATCTCCTCACGATGCTCCACTGCCTTGTGGGTCAGACGTTCAGGTCAAAGGCTCGGGGTGTGGCCCCCCTAAGAAAACCACCTGCTTCGGTTTGGGCACCCGGGCAGTATCACAGCCCTCACACAAATCAATTGAGATTTGTGTGGCGCATATGTATTTGGTGCCTCCCTGTACCTATACTTGTGTGTTAAAATAAATAAATCTGGAACGCAGGCATACTTATCGGCGTCCGACAATCGTGGTCATTCTTGACTTAAAAGCAGCATATAACTCTGTAGACCGGGAGGTTGTGTCGCAGTGTCTATCACTGAAATGTGTACCTCAAAAGTACATGAAACTTGTGAAGGCTCTCTACCCGAACACTACTAGTCGAGACAGAGCTTATGGCGAACTGTCATCTGCTTTTGCAACCTCAAGCGGTGTCCGTCAAGGCTGTCCACTTTATTTTCTTTTAACTTCATCAAAGACCTATTGATGGAAATAACGCTCTCGTCGACTAAATTCTCGGACACTGATCTCCTTCTAGGCGGTCCACTTATCGACTTAAAATACGCTGACAAAATGCAGAGTGTTTTGGTAGCACTAAGCAACAATGCCAGAATGTTTGGGATACTCTTCTCTCTCTCTAAATGCAAGTTTTTGCTTCAGGATGGTCTGCGTCAACACCTGAACTAAAGATAGGGAGTGAAGTAGACGAATGCGTCGACAATTCCACTTACCGTGGAAGTCTGATCAGCCCTAATGGGTTGGTGTCTGACGAAATCTCAGCACAGATTCAAAAAACTCGTTTGGCTTTTGACAACTTACGTCACCTATGGTGATGACGAAACATCTGTCTAGCAATTAAGAAAAGAGTATACTGTGAAGCAGTTCACTCTGTTCTACTCTACGGCTACGAACCGTGATCATTAAGGGTAGAAGATACTCGTAAGCTACTAGTATTTGATCACAGATGTCTTAGAAATATTGCTCGCATATGTTGGGATCATTGGGTAAGTAATAGTGAGGTTAGATTCAGGGTGTTACCGAATGATGGTAAATGAGTTGATGAGGTTGTGAATCTTCATCGACTGAGATGGTTGGGCCACAAACTACGCATGCCCAACCACCGACTGCGACGGCTCGCAATGCTGACTAGTGTTGGAGATGGATGGATGAAAGTTAGGAGCGACCAAACCAAAACGTGGCACCAGTCCATAAAGTCACTAACTTCTGGTCTGAGCCATGTTGGTAGATGCAGACTACTTGGTTGGGGTCCGCATGACTACCGTAACCAATGGTTGGAGACTCTGAGTGACATTGCTCAGAATCGATCACAATGGCGTAGGTGTATACACTCTTTGTCTTCCCCTAAACTGTAAGACTAAAACTACTTTATACCTATCTTTCTACGAACTAATTCTTTATTCCTGTACTATGTCCTTATATGCAATTGATCAGCGCTAATAACTAGACAGATGATTTGATGCTAATAGTCAGTGATCAACACAGTTGGGAGTATCTGTTTAACAGAAGGTCGTTTGGAACACAAATAGCTTGGTAGTAACATATCAGACTAGTTGATGTGGGTCAGGAGCCTACCAGGAGTATCGATTCCGTCAAAATTACGAGTATGCCATGATGACGAGTGCCAACTGGCAAGAAAACTAGATTTAGAGTGTCTCCCACCGATTACCTACAAATGTCTAACCTTCAGTTCATCTTCGGTGCTTTAATTTGCTCTTTAAACATCAAGTAATGAAAACCGTTTATCATGTGATATCGTTAAAATGAGGCTATATTCTCTAGTATTTTTAAAATCTCTTTTAAAATAAATAACTATAACCACTATAGTATACTATAGAATCTACCATTTAATGTCGACTTAATTTCATGTAAGAGTGCAATATCAATAATGATAATATGTTAGTGTAACTCATTTCACATCTACACAAGTTTGAAGGGTTAGGGTATAGTGATGCTGTTATTAACTCTGATATTCCGGGGTTTGGTCTAGCAATTTTATCTCGTTGTGCCAATAGGATGTGGTAAATTGAACTGATGTACATAAGCACCAAGTTCTACGTTGTGGCTGACTGACTCATCGTTGGCAATGTAAGCGGCTAATGAATTATACTACATGACTAGTTAAATCAAAGTAAATTGATTATCAAATGTTTGAATGATTCACCCAAACTCAGCAACTAATAGAACTATCAGTCTGAATGATGTAAACAAAGGTTTAAATAAGTGATTTCCAGTTAATTCAATATACAGTCAAATCATTAATGATAATCTATAATGAAAGCATATGACAAAGTGCCATGCAGAGGCAATCCACTCAGGAAGCTCATATGATAGTCAGAAATGAAATCCCTTATTACTAATTATATTGTAGTTGATGAAGACTTGGTGGGATTACCAATTTATTGTTTTGTTGCAAAATCGCACAGTGGGTTAGTTAAATGTGAAAATGATACATCATCTGCATATCTTCATTGAATTGTATCTTATGAGCTCTATTATTCCTTCATTCCTACTGTTTTATTGATAGCTTTTAGTTTACTTCTCTATTCTCCCCATTTCAATCTTCTGCTCTCAGACATTTCACTTCCGATTGGTGCTAGATACTACTTATATCTGTCAACACAATTAACATACACTACGATATTACTACTGTCGAAAATGGCATTATTGTTGTTACTATTATTACTAGAAAATTATTTTCCCGTTATTAATGAATTTATTAACCTGAATTCAACTTAGTTAACACGGGATTCGATGAATTTGAGAATTTACTATTAATACTGTAAACATAACTACAACTATCAGTAGTAGTAACAGAAGTAGGTGTTGTTCTCGTTGGTAATTTATTGACAGTTAAAAATAATGATGAGGATGAAGAAAATTTCATGGGATAATTCGATTCTAACTGTTCAAGAACACTTACTAAGCAACCGATTATGTGAATTTGAACATTTTTCTTGTAAATGATCCCATTCACTTTTCATATTTTCATTATTATTCGACGATAATGAACTATGAACAGACTTTGATGAAATTACAGATGGATTAAAAATTTGAGAAATAACGACTGATGGTGGATCATGAGTACGATTTACTTTCGAAGATAAAGATGAGGAACTAGTAAAGAGTGAACATGCATTTATTATAGTAGTAGTATTACTAGTAGTAATAATAGAATCTGATGAATCGGAAGTAACAGTATTATCTATAAAAGAATTATAATTCATAATCCAACTATTATCAGGTCGGAGACGTGTTGATGATGTACGAGATGATCGAGTAGAATGTGAACGTTCCGGTATTACGACAATAGCATGATTTGCTGTAACATTTTGATTAATTTTTAGCATGAATAAATCGGGATACGATGATTTCTTTGGTTCAGTCAATGCCTTTTTTATATTTGACAAAGGGATAAAATTAATTTCTTTTAAATCATTACTACTATCATTTACGGATTTAATAATGCAATCATTTGGTAATATATATTGAGGTGTAGTAGTTGATTGTGTCATTAAATCAGATTGATGAGGATAAGATAAAAATGGAGCATATGATACATCATTTCCAGGGGTCAATATGTTAGGAGCAGTCGTCGTAGTGTTAGAATTGTTACATGTAAAATGATTCTTTTGCCATTTCAATGTAGAAGTAAGTGTGGATTCGTGTGATGCTAGCATTTTTTCATTTTTATCTTGACTCACTGAACTCATGAATAAATTGGATTCTAAAAAATTTCAACAGAAATAGCAAGCATGGGAGAGACAGGGAAACGATAAGAAGCCTTTTTACTATTAATGAAAATACATTATTTTTTTTAGAAATACCATCTATCTGATTAACACCAATTACAGGTGTTACGTATTCAACTACTTTATGCTTGTCCACCTAGTTGTATTCCATTTATTTATCGAAAATGCAGTCGACAGGAGGACGGAGTGTTCGAGCTTATGATTTGGTGGATTGAAGTTGGCAGCTTTAACCAGTAGGCTATCATCGTTGCAGAAACTGCATTTAGCTTATTTTAATTGAGATTTGTTATGTCTTGCACAAAATATTGATATGTTACTACTGGTATGGTTCTTGATTATGTCTGTGAAATAACTGCTTTCTGCTAATTGTTCAATCGAACAAGACTGAAATGGCTCGATGCATTGAATAAAGCAAGACTATTGGTGAAGATACATCTTCATATTTTCTTCATTCCTATACAAACTTACCATCTTTGATTTAGGTCCGACTAAGTAGGGTTTTTTTAAAAGATGCGAGGCTGTGTGGCGGGTGTCAACATAAAAATTAGTTATTCTTCTTAAAATTAAACATTGAGATTTATTTGTACTGAGTAGTTATCGTACAGAAATCAATATACTTCGGTTTCTAAGCCACTAATACCTTTCTAATTTTATGGATAAAATTAATAGTGAGGCCTATAGTGATATGTATATTGAGTGATTTTTGTAATTACAAAATGAAGACCACACTTTTTCCTTATGTGATACTGTATATGTAATCACATTTATATTCAATATCTATTGTTTCTCTGTATCAATGTTAAAAACGGATATGATTGTACTGATACTAATAAACAATACTGCTATCATTAAAATAAACGTTATCTCTGACGTCTGTTCTTTTACTTTATTGGCTATGGCCTGTGACTGGAGGTTGTAGTCGTGTTATAACATTCTTTTAGGCCGTTCTACATTATGCTGGAGTTTTGGCCCAGATTATTATTGAATAATACTGTTGGATTTAATCTTTCTCATCAAGTCGTTGGTGCCACCACGTGCAGAGGAACCTTCATTAATCAAATGAACTCATCTGTGGTTGCTGTCTCAGAAGGAGCTTACAAGTAACATTCATTTCATAACAACTGTTATCACTTTGTTACTTAATATACCATTTTATTGCGTGCTACTTGTTACCGTTTTGTTTTACACAAAAACAGACACTTCGGCTTGTAGTGTTCATATTTTTTGATATATCATTATTAACAGTGCGTATGTGGTGTGGGTTACTTATATCCACACAAGTAGTATATACCGATGTCAAGTATAGAATGTATTTCAGTAGGTCGATGAGGAAAAAACGGGAACGAAACGCAATTGGTATGAAAACGCGTGAACAATGAAATCTGAGACAATGGATTGGTGTTTGCAACAGGGACAGTCAAGTTTGAGATGATGGGTTGACATTTTGCAAATTAACGATTTACTATATGGTTTTCAGATTTTGAGATGTTCTGTAATTTCGTGTCAAATACATTTGGTTGTCCCCAATGGTGTTCTTGTTCACTATATGTATAGTTATATTTTTATTAAGCTCTTTTACTGGGATTTACCGCAGGGGCACTAAATTAGGGGACTTCATTAGGTGGTACATTCTATTCGTTGATGAATATTTGTTTACTGTTACTACTACTGCTCTGGGATTTTTGTGTCCTCGTAAAGTGTAAAAACTTGAAATGATGAACATATATCCTGAATTATACGTTGCTGTATATGACTGACTGAACTGAAGGGGATTGGATAACGAAGTTTATAGATGAATGATAGAAATAAGTAAACTAGTCATCCAAGTGAACTTTATATATATCTTCAATGGATTACATTTAAGTAATTTTATACATAACTCAAGACTCGTTATCGCGACAAACTATTAAGAAAATTAAATTCACTTGATATTGTTTACTTGGATCTTCCCATCGATGTTTAGGACTGAAATTGATCAGTCTCTTATTGGCATACATGCATACTGTGCGTTCGAATCCTGGAGTAAACATCAACTCTGAGGTGCAGGTACGTCTGCCTGACGAGTCCCAAATAGGACGAAATGCACGTCAAACTGAATTCCACTACCCGTCTCTGCTTAGAATTAAGGAAATTGTTCATGGTACAGTTTGATGAATCTACCTGAATGCTTAAAAGCGAAGTGGTGATTAGGACGGATCGAAAGGGTAAAGAAAAAATCTACTACCTTGATCAAAGGTTCAATAACTAGATTGTCAGTATGCAACAGCTTTTCTATCGAACTCTTTTTCTCCGAATCACAAGGTCAATCGATAAAACAATCCTATTTCATTGTGAGAATCAATCGTGAGGTCTACATTTAAGACAATTTAAGATAAATGTTCAAAAAAACAATTTTGATATATAATAATATTTTTGGTTAATATTAGTAGTATTTTGTGTATATAATAAGTAACATGTAACATATAAATGGAATGTGCCTTAGGATTCGATTTACGAGCTACAAATAACTGAAGGGAGGAAACATTGTTTTGAGACAATAAGTTGAATAAGTATAGTATTTGAGTCCTATTACTAATAGTATGGGATCAATGAAGCTCAGAATTACAAGTTACTACATTGAAGAGATAACAAGTACGGTTGCTAAAATCAATATGTCATGCTTTACTGAGGGGTAGGGATATCGAAGGATGATAACTGGACAGTAGCAACGAAGAACTGTTATTTGGCGTAAAACAGTTATTTATTAACATTTTTTACCAACCTTGAATTATAATGTAAAGAATGCCTCCATAATTTATGCTGTTAGGATCATTGCAGCACAATAGGGAAAAATAAATTATAAAATAAAAAAACTCAGATCATGGTGAGCAGTATGAATACAAAATATAGACTAGAAAATACTTTAGACTTATCCTATGAAATATTTAGCAGGATACACATAAAGATGTTAACGTTGACATAAAATTGTATAAAAATGTGAAAAAAGCATCCTCCATACTTACCAGACAATCTGGATAACATACATAGTACATTGGACAATTTTTTATCTGAATATTTTGTGCGCCCATCTGTTATTGTTTCTATTTCCATATGTTTCTTTCTTGTGTACACTGCATTTGCAATAATTGATGCGTGTAAAACTAGTTGACGTGTAATCAATGGAATACAAATCGGTTGATATGGAATAATAGATAGTTTAGCATGTTCTGTAGACGGCATCATTTTTAATTCAGTTGTATAATCCCACGGTATAGATGGTACAGTATCAGCATAATTCAACTGGTGAATGTGCTGTTGTTGTGGATTACTGACGGATGTTATGGTACAGGAAGACTGATGAGAAGTGGTAGCAACACGTAAAGATGGCGATGGTGATATAGCTTTTTGAAGTTTATTAGTATTATTTAAAATACAATATCGGTTTGAGCCATTAATATTTTCAAATACATCTGGATGCCACTGGCGAAGACAATGAGAATTTTTCGCTATAATTGTATTATTTACCACACCTGATAAATAAATAAACAGATATAAACTTGATTGTAGAGTTTTGTCTGACAGAAGATAATACTTTTATATGTGAACTTCACGATATTTACACCCTGATCATCTTCCGGTGAAACAAAAATCAAATTATCTTTTGTAATTACAAAAATAGTAGAGTACTTATCAACAAACTGTTGAATCACAATACTGCTAATTTGTTGCCTACAGTCTACTGGATCATAGACATATAACTTATGTTTACGTAATATTATTATTTTGATGCTTAGATTGTTATTTATACGTTCTATGGCAAATATATAGTATTTTTCATACTAAGACGCGTTCAATCATTCATTCATGTCACTTGGTTAACATTTTTATGTGTGCTATAAGACTGTATACTAATGAGAAATCTATATTTGTTGAGTGTATTTTTCCAATGGTTTATATACGATTAGTAATATTGTATTGCAAAGTCAATTCAGACTCATGCATCCTTCATGTAATATTTCACAATGCTAACAATCATGTCCAAAATAGTCATTTTGAAATAACATAGAAACCACATGAATTTGGAAAGTGCAAACTTAAATTGATTTATTATTATCATGATCATGATGATTAATAGCTTGTGATTTGTGTCAACTTGATCATGCTAGCAAACTGGTGTGCATTCTGCACTAATCTCCAAGGCACATTGCTATAAATAATAATAATAATAATAATAATAATAATAATAATAATAATAATAATCGATTCATTCAATATAATACATATGATTATAGTAAGGAGTTCACAGTGCGAAATATGCAGCATTATAGAAAATTCTTAAATGAAATAATTTTTACCAGAATCTAATCATTGTTTTTCTTTTCACATGACAGACAAAAACTACAACAATCTATTTACCGATCCAACATTCATTATTTCATTTAAATTACGTAGTAATTAACTACACGGTATGTTGTTAATGTTGTATTAAAAAAAACAGCATAAAATACTAGGATACTTTAAGCGTTTGACAAACAATACAATTATGATCAGGATGGGGGTTGGTGGAGATCGTAGTAATTTTAATAGTTGAATTCACGAGTCGATTTAAGTTAGACCACAATTGAAAATATTTTGAACTTCGTTTTTCTACATTAATGGACATAATTGTAAAGGAAATATGAATAAATAGATGACTACACGACCATAACACACAAAGAGGTAAATACAATGTTGAAATTAAGCATTAGGTTAAAAAAAACCGAGTACAAAAGGTTTTCAATGGTGGTCTAGCTTACATCGACTCATGAATTCAACTATTAAAATTTAAATAATTATTTATTTTAATTTAATCAAAACATTAATCAAAGATAGGAAAATTATGTACAAATTTGTACAAATAGCAAACGAGTGGTCCGAAAGTTTAAAAACAGACTGCCATTACAGGAATAAGCTATTATTCAGAAGAACATTAACTAACAAATATATGTATTTTATAATTGATCTGCACATTAAGAATATACTGTATGTAGATTAGTTTTTTTATTTAAAAAAGGGTAATTACATCATAATAAACAATTGTTTCAGTGAAAACAAAACATATTATCAAATTAAATGGCAGAATTTTCATCCAAGTATTAATTATCCTGATAAATAGTCATTGGAAATTCTGAAGTGATGTAAAGTAATAATACAAAATAACTATAATAAATTCATATTGAATAGATAATCATTTCAACAAAAAAAAAAGAAAATAACGTAGTTATATTTTAGTGTAGATTTACAATTCTGTTAGCTAAACTAGAGAGTACTACTGAACTAATCAGGAATTAGCAATCGACTTCAAGTTACAGTCCCCAAATGCCCTGGTATGTCCGAGAGTAGGGTGGACCCGCCCTCCCTCTCGAAATGCTCTCACATGGCCACGTGTATATAGCCTCTGCCAGGGAAGTCCTACTCACTGCCTTCTCGAGCCACGGGTGTCGTTCACGAAATTGAGAGGACGAAAAGCGAATGTCCGGCGCTTCAACCGGATCCCAAACCAATGGTGCACATGGGCTCCAGTATCCTGCCTGAGGGAACAAATAGCGTATGAACCAATCGTTCACTGGCCACCATGGGACTGCATCTCCTCACGATGCTCCGCCACCTTGTGGGTCAAACCTTTAGGTCAAAGGCTCGGGGTGTGACCCTCTAAGAAAACCACCTGCCTCGGTATGGGCACCCGGGCAGTATCACAGCCCACACACAAACAAAATTTTGAGTGGCGCATATATATTTGGTGCCCTCTTGTACCAATATTTATGTGTTCAAATAAAATAAAATAAATAATGTCGTCTATCCAATGATAAAGGAAACATGAGTTTGCAGTCTATCGTACGATGATGTATTTGAGTGAAGAAAACGTGGTAAAGTGTTTACAAATAGATGGAATATTAAAGAAAACACTAATACATAATTGTAAGAGTAAAATGACGCTGAATGTATGTGCAGAAACAAGAAATAGATTTATATGCCATTATAACTTGGGCAGAGCATGAAGGTTAAGTTGATAGAGTTAGGATGTCGGGTTTACAGTAAGGAGTTAGAATGAGTTATCCATATAAAATCAATATAATGTCGATAAATTGTTTCGTCTTTCGTGGGAAATTATTCATTTTGATTTCGCTATTTTCTGACTGGATAAAAAGTTAAAATCTCAAGGTCACTTTGCAGTATTCTTTAGGCCTACAATAATGTTTTAATTAGGGTAATAAGTACCAAAAATGTTGAAATAATTATAGTATTGATGAAGAATAAATATTGCAGAATATAGGCTGGAAAGAAAGATTGAATTCCAGGAGTAAAAACATACAAGGTAAGGTTGAAGCTCTAGATTCAGAGGAAGATAAAGAGTGAATTCTCTACACTACTGTGACCGATTGTAAGCCGTCCGTAATAACCAACAGTTCCAACAACTAGTTGATGTTATATCATGAACCCAAACAAGTAGTCTGTATTTATCAACATGATTCGGACCAAAATTCAGTTAGGTCGCCTCTTAACTTTATTCCCAATAACTCAAATATCAGCTAACATCGTCAATTCTTAAAATTTAACTAACCTGAACTCTTCACTTTATAATTATCTGTATCATTAAAATCCCAGAGAACAACTGGTCGATTCACTTGTGATGTGCACAAAGATTTGATGACATTATCATATGGTGATATTCCATTCATCAATAAATGATTGTTCTTTTGTCGTTGTTGTGGCAATGATGATGGCGAATTTTGCTTTTGTTTATCCAGTTTTGAATTATTATTACTAGTATTATTATTGTTATTCAAAAAACAATTATTATCAGCAGTAGAAGTAAATCTTGTTGTTACATCGGGAATAGCTGAATGTTTGAAGGCAAATAATTCAGTTTCTAAATTTAATATACGATTACAATCACAATCTTGATGAATGATATTTGTTAACTGATCATTACATGTTGACGAAGAAGAGGACTGTTCTCCTACTATCGGTGATGATAATGATGAGAGTGGATTTCTTATTACGGTCGATGTTGGAGATTTTAAAGATGGAAAATTAGACAGAGCGGAAGAAAGTTGAGTGGTCGGTAAACATCCGTCTGCGATTAAACCACTATTCGTAACAGTATTATTATACAGATTTTGCTCTAATTTTTCACTGGTCATATTTATCTTCATGGTAGATAAGGATAAATCGTTATCTTGTTCATTTTCAGATGAATTATTAATTAGAACATTTGGTAGACCATAATTTTGTTGGTTATCAACTGATGTGTACCCTGGGGATACCGTTTTAGTTGACTTGACTTCATTATTGTGAAATATGGGCTTATATCGGTTAGAGCTATTTTAAACGGGAAAAAATTGAACAAAAAACAGATAAGTGAGTCATTAAACATGAATTAGACGTTTTGAGATCACAGCCTCAGATCAGTTCGTGATCGCAATAACATTCAACCATCTCTATAGCCCTATATATTGATAATTATCGATTTATAAGTGCTTCTGGGAAGGCGTTAATTTACAATGATTAGTCAATTATTAGTAGCCAGTATCATGTTTCTCTAGTTCTTTATAGTGTTGATCGAATTTCATTGATCAATTTGCATTATGGCGACTAGTCTGGATTATTTTTAGACATTGTGGTTGTACGTAGTTGTCAAGATATCCTCTATAGATTATCTTCAACTATCATCAAGACCTCAACAATTCATCTATTTCTTTTATTAATAAACAAGTTAAATTTTCTGACAGATAAGCAAATCAATGATAGTCTGTATTTTACAACTACCACACTGAAACTTTGATTGGCTGTTTTCACTTTTTACTTGCTATTTTGGTACATTTTCTCAAGATAATTGATGTTAGTACATAAAAACAGAGGCGACGCAAGAAGAGTATTTATTCGACTAGATTTTCTCACTGATTTCGTGCAAATTGAACAAATAGTAACTGATATATGAAAAAGTTGACCATTTTATTATTTTTTTAAAGACATTGGAAAATATCTGCCAGTAAAGACAGTTGTTCATAGTTAAGTGTTTATAATATTAGATCATCGAAAGCGAGTTAATACATCGTATTATCATCTTTATCCTGTATGTTCTAGTTGCTTTGTCTAAAACACATTGGTCTACACAGAGATATCTAACTGATTCTCTGATTAATTGACGAGTTCTGAATCAATCTTCACGTTTCACTAATTACTGCTGTCTATTAAATAAGAAATGTAGTTCATTCGATTTTAACGCAATAATCTGAAGTTGTAAGCTAGCTGTGAGACCTGAAGGTCCTAGGTTAGAATTCTAGTGGGGTGGTGGATGGGAGATGTTACGGAGTGCCATACTGGGACGATACAAATGGCTATCCAGTATTTTATGGTCTTCAACAGTTATTGAAATGAATTCACTTCATAATGGTGAACTGAAAAAAATTGGAAATTTATTTTGTGAAGACTTAACTTATGTTTAGTACACTCACCAGTTAAAAATCCTACTACATTCGTTATGACTTAAATTAATCAGTATTACAGCTAACTCCACATTGAATATTCCAATATATTTGATGCGTTGATGTATTCACAGATGACAGAGAATAGGGATTATTTTTTTAGGAATCTATACCACAACATGTGGCTATGCATAACTATTACTCATGAATATTGGGCATTGATGAATAGACGTCAAATTACAGAATTATTGGACTTTAGGAAAAGGAATGTTGATCAAACAATAATCTGAACATCAGTTCGTCATATGGTAGTGCCTTGTGTAAAAAACTCACATAAATGGGGGAAGAAGACAGAAGGAAGTCTTATCAATTGTGAAACGAACGAAAAAAAAAGATTAGGTGGATCCTAGGTTTAGTGAAAACGACAAGATGAAATTATAACAGTGTAGCATAATAAAAATTAAAAACAAGTCATTTATAACTTTCATGAATTAAATAATAATGATAAGTGGACGGTGTTTATTCATCCTTTGCTTGAAGCTAGAATCTAAAATATTGTTGCAATCATTAACCGACCAACATTAGACAACCATTGAAAACCTAGTCTCACACAACTTTTAACCTCTAAATCAGTGAACCATCATCCCATGGTGTACTACATAAAATTCAATCATCCCACAATATTTTACGACTATCTGTCATTGTTTTCGATGAGTAATTGCATCACACTTAACATTGAACTCCACTGGTCACGATTTCTTATTGGAACTCCAAAAATTTCCTCTAGAAGCTAGTCACTAGTGAGCACATGAAAATTGTTAGTACGTAGTTTCAGAGATTGCTATATGAGCAAGCTCTACTAAATCAGTATTGATAATTACGTATATATATATATATATATATATATATATATATATATATATATATATATATATATATATATATATATATATATCAATTTGAATCCTGTAGTTTTGTGAGGAACATGTGACACTTAGAATTTCTTCATTAGATTAGATACTGAAATTAGATTTTGTATTGTAGTCCAATAAATATAAATATACAATATAATACATGTATTCATGTACATATATAAAATAAGCTCAATAAATAGTAACCTGTTTAATTGTTTATTAAGAATAATTTCAAGTAGAATAACAATCTATCATTTATATTTTCGGTAATATTTAGGACTCTTGAGATGAGTTAGCTTATAATGAAGTAAATTTCACTATTGTTCTAAGCAATGAGTACTTGACCATTGAATCATTTAGCTTAGAAAACCTAATAGTTATCAAAATTATTCTAACCTTGAACTATCATATTGTCTCTATCATTTCATAGTTTATATTCATCGTTTAATTAATCACGATAATCGGTTTTTATTCAAATTTCTAACCTACTTCTTCTACAATTAAATAATCAAATTTTTCAGTAGGAAAAAAGATTACATACTGATGATTTGATAAGAAATATGTTTGATCAATATTCGAATCCTCCTATCCCCACTACCACATTTATATCGTTATCAGCATACATACAAGTTCATTTTTGTATTGGTTGTTTGAATCTTCACATTGATATTGATGTTTAGGATTGCAATTGATCAGTCTCTTTATTAGTCACCTGAACATGAATCAGGAGATTCAAACAACCAATAAAAAATTAATTAAAACTTATTTTATTTATTTATTTATTTGAACCCATAAATATTGGTACAAAGGGGAACCGAGTACATCTGCTCCACACAGGTTACTTGATCTGTATGTGGGCTGTGATACTGCCCGTACGCCCAAACTGAACCACGTGATTTTCTTAGTGGGACACACCCCGAGCCTTCGACCCAAAGGTCTAATCAACAAGGTAGTGGAGCGACGCTAGGAGATGTGATCCCATGGTAGCCAGCCAAAAAAACAGGTTCATACGCTATTTGTCCCTTAGGATCCTGGAGCCAATGTACACCGTTGGTTTGAGGTCAAGGTTTACCAACTCCCCTAGGTGGGTTCTCTCAATTTCGTGAACAACAAACCCGCCGCGAGAAGGCAGTGAGTAGGACTTTCTTCGGCAGTGGCTGTATACGCATGACCATGTGAGAGCATTTCGAGAGGAAGAGCGGACTCTCCACACTCTCAGCCGTACCACGTCATTTGAGGCAATTAAAATCTCACCCCATTGAATAAGCTGGTGGCTATCTAAACCCAGTAGCTAAGTGGATAACGCAATGGATTTTTGGAGTGAACAGTACCGGGCTTGAGTCCCGGAGTGAATGTCACCTTGAGGGTGAGGGTACATCCAGCTATCGAGTCCAAAACAGGACAAGACGTGGGTCCTAGATTCTACTGCTAGCCACCATCCATCTTTGCTTGTAAAACATAAAAGTGATGAGAAATACCTGCAGTTTGCATTGTGGACGCACTTTTGTACTTTCATCATAGATCTTCGAGATTAAGGGAGAGGCGAGGATGAGATGGGGTAGAGATGAAAGCGGTAATTTATATGATCGATATAAGCTTATACTATACAATAGAAGTTAGATTTTTCTGTGTAGATGCTAATATTCTTGATAATATAAAACATAATATAATATTTTTGTCAAGGAGAAAAACACAAAATAAACATGTATAGTAGTGAAAAAAAGAACCGATCAACCATTTTACCTTGCTTCTAATATACCCTGATAAGTCTGTAATTCTCTCATAAAACCTGGATTAGGTTGTACACATGGACGACGATCTTTTATGTAAGATAACGCAGTTTTTAAATCCCAATTATTCTCTTTCATAGCATATGCAATGACCTTCAGAAAAGAAAAGGATAGTTGAATAGTAAAATGTGATGATATAAAGTGATAAGCTTGTTGCTTGATAACTTATCAGTAATCAGTAATGGTGTATGATTCGAACTAAGCTTAATTTGGAACGAACTAGAAGCTAGGTTGTAGGCATTGATGGTATGTACACTAGGAAAAGATAATTATAACTGAAAGTTTATCGCAAGTACTCCTGTAAAGTGGTGTGGTTTATAAACGCCAGTTTATTGTTCTCAGTCATAGTCAACTTAGACCCCGGCATAAATGTTTGTTGGGACGATTAGTAATACTACATTAGCAGGATGAAATGAAATTAACAAGATTAGTCGTAAGAGGTAGAAATAATGCAGTAGAAATGATAATAAAAACTAAACACTGAGAGTATAGTTAAAACAACAGTATGCATAATAGAACACTGGAATTCAAGATCAAGAAGAGGATAAATAATATATATACTTAACCGTTTCATTAAAGGCCTAAAACCACTGTTATTCACATCTATTATTATTATTACTATGGATGAGAATCTTGTAAAAACAAAGAATCTATCAGTATGGGGTTGTGGAAATAGCTAACTTGTATAGAACTGATCAAATTTAGACAACCATTGAAAACGATGTAGCAATGGATCCCGTGTCGCCTGAAATAGGACTTTTCAGCGGTGCGCATCCACCACTCTGCAACTGGCAATTGAACTCAGAACCTTCGGTCCATCTAATGCATCCAGGTTTTTATTGGTTGCCTAACTTATATCGGTTTGTGTTCTCAATAAAATTTATCATGTGCCCACTAGTGACTAGCTTCTAGAAGAAATTTTTGGAGTACTAATGAGAAATCGTGACCAGTGGAGTTCAATGTTAAGTGTGATGCAATTACTCATCGAAAACAATGACAGATAGTCGTAAAATATTGTGGGATGATTGAATTTGGGGTTGTACAAAATGGGATAGAATAGAAACCAATATCATGATCATTAGAGCTTTTAAGGTTGATAGAATTCCAAGTGATCAGTTTGTAATGTGATAGCTAAATTGAATGAGTGAACATAATGACTACTCTATATGTGATATTAAGTGACTAGACGTAATCAATTAACGTATTGTCTTTTTCTGTTGTGAGTTCGAAAGTACTAGAAATATAAACAACAGTATAATGGACTAACTTTAATGACTACCCCACAATTACTAGAACGTTCAGGCGGAAATACACTGATGAATGTAATTATGCTTTAGTAGCTAACTTAAATGAAGATGAAATGATCTTGCGATCTAATAGAAACGTAAGTTGTATCAATGAATAATCTTGAGGTCATAGAGGATGTCATATCGATTACACAAAGTGTACTTTCTCTAAGCATATTTCTGAGCGTTACTCGGGACTGTTGACTAAAGATTGATAGATCTATTATCAAATAGGTAGTCAACTCTGTAAGGGTTAGTGATACTATCCAGTTGTCTAAACTGCAGTAGGTGGAGAGGAGTTCGGACCTGAAACTTAGTGGTTATAATTTGAACGTTCAAACTACAGAACCACTACTCCAGATTGATGGACTGCACAACAACTGAGAATAAGAACTATTGAATTTATGGCTCAATTGAGTCCAAATACAACGTAATTCGCTTATAAGCTTGAAAGTCTTGAGCTCGACTTCGTCGCTTAAGTTTGATTATGCACATTGCTGACGAGTCAACGAACTGAAACGAAACTACTATTTAGTCCTCTATGAGTGTCAGTCAACAATCTTCCTTCCCTGGCGACCACCCACACCTTGTACTCGACTGATTACAATAGATCACAAAAATTACCTTCCTGTTTTTACGTTGACTTCACATTACCATAATAAGCATATTAAATGTATCGAGATGGCGTTTACTTACTGTAGATGCCGAACGACTTATGCCCATTTTACAGTGAACAAGACATCGTGTACCCATAATCCTATAAAGTAAGTGTACGTGGAAAGGAAAATATCAGTATCAATAGTAATGATAATAACAATAATAACTATTATTATTATTATCATAAAATAAATGACAAAACATGGAAAGTGTGACACTAGCGGGTTATAAATGAAATACGTCTGGATAATAAGGGAGCAATACAAATTTAAAATGAAACAAGCTTGGAGTTGATTTCGCTTATTGAATATTCTATGCGCAGTTTCAACAAAACGAACGAAAAAAGTAATGCTCATTTGATGACTGATTATAAGAAAATATAACCAATGAGTCAAATTCGACCACGATAAAGTAAGTATAATATTTTTACAACTATCAGCCTCAGTAATTGTTTCATAAAGCGCAACAGAGTTGTGTTCGAAATGTACTCAACCAACTCTGTTTATTGCCAACTATTTGATTATCTAGACAGTAACTACAACCAACCTAATATATGTTGTGCTAAACCAGTGAGCAATGTTGAGGCTACGCGTACTATAATAATGTAAGAATGACGAGGCAGTGAATCTTCATCAACTAAGATGGTTAAGACATATATTACTTATGTTCAACCAACGTATACTTCTGTTGGGGATGTTAGATGAACTCGTAATCACTTCAAACATAGCAACTTCGATGTGGGATTTTCGTGCATGTAGTAGTGGATTGAAAGAAAGCTACGAGCGCCCAAACCAACACGTTGCATCAGCCCACAAAGTCACTGAATGTTAGACTTTGCTGTATAGGAAGTTGCACATAATCCATTTAGGGTCAGCGTGATTATTGTGAGCATTGGTTGGAGTTGTTAGATGAGACGACTCAGAATCAGTCAAAGTGGAAGAGATGTATTCACTGTCGTCTTTTCTTATATTTGAAGTTTAGAAATTATCTAAAACTTTATATTTCGCGAATTTGTTCTTTCTTCTCGAACCAAATAGTCGATTTCTAATGTTTTCTACTACAACTGTTACTCATTGCTTCAACTACTCTAGTTTGTCTTGATAATTTCATCTCGACATATTGGTACAGTGTGGCAACTAGTATCTTTAAAAATTAGCCCAAATTAAAAGCAAATCACTTACTTAGCTTCATTTATAAATCGATGCGTTTCTTCCCAATAAGGTAACAATGTTGATTGTTCATCATCGTATACTCGGATATTTTTATATTCAAATTTATCACCGGGAAAGAAGTTATCCACTTCTCGCGTTACATTTAAAATATGCGTTACATTGAGACGTTTCAATTCATCACGATTTGATGCATTAAATGATGTACCCAATAGAACATGATCAAATATTACACTAGCTTTATCCATCTGACCACAAATTGTAAGAATTTGTTTTTCAATAAAATGACGAAATTCGTGTAATGGTTGTTTGAATTCTTCTTCTAATAGTTCACGAAGCTTTAAAAATGGTGGAAGACGAAGAAGGAAAAGAAATGAGGAAAAAAGGCGTACATGTTAAATCGGATTTCCGAATATGAGGTTAGAAATATATATATATATATATATATATATATATATATATATATATATATATATATACTACACTAAGATTTGTAATGTTACCCAGTCACAAATGTATTTTTACTACCAATAATATCGTTATTACTTTTGCTAATTTGGGATTTGTCTTGATACATTCATCTTGCTGTGCTATATGACGTGGCAACTAGAACAAATGCACATATGTTCCAGGTTTGACGTTGTGATTGACTGACTGAGTGACTAATCTTGTTATTTCTTTGAGTGAAGCGTTTAAGAAAAATAAGCTCTTATAATGATTAGTTTCAATGTGTCATCATAGAAACAGAGACATTTATGTGACTGAATATAGAATTGGACAAATAGCACATTATAATGTTGAAATGATGGGGTGTTTTTACTTGAAAAAACACCTCAATAAAATTGCCTATGTAAATGTTTGAGACAATATCTAGTCTGATGTAATAGGGAAGCAGTTTGTCCGTTTGTACAATGGGAAAATACTATGAGGGTAAACTAACAATAAGAATAAAATGCAAAAATGATAAAGATGAAAGTATGAAGGGAAAACTGTTCAACAATCAGAGCAATATGAAAAATGGGTGTACTTAAACAACACTTATAGATTTTGGGTTATAAATTTACATTATACAAACGACAGTTACTCTTCACATTCTTCCAATACTATCTTTAAAAATGAAATAATTAAAGTGATCGATTAAAGTGAAAATCACATATTGATTTATTAATAAATAGGATATTAACAATCTACTGAAATTTTTTGGGGTGCTCATTTATCAACTGAACAAATAGTGCAGAATGTTTTCCTGTTTTAAATATATTATAAGTGACCAATGTTGCATGTTAAGTGATTGAGCTCCTGCAGCGCGTTTATAAAAAGCTAACAACCTATTGCAATGTTGTGTAGTCATTCGAGTTTGACACTGATATATAAAATTCCAAACGGTCTACTAGAGTCACAATTTCTTCAGTAGTATTGTAGTGAACGAGAACACGAGTGGGGACAACCGAATGTATTTGAACACCAAATTACAGAATATCTCACTAAAATCTGATAACCATATAGTAAATAGTTCTCTTGCAAAATATCAATCAATTGTCTCAAACATGACTGTCCATCGTCTCAGATTTCACTGTTCGTGCATTTTCATACCAATTGCTTTCCATCCCCGTTGTTTCCTTCTGGATCATCTACTGAAATACATTCTATTCCTGACCATCTTTATATACTACTTATGTGAATATAAGTAGACCACACCACAGTATCATTTAGGAATTGTAATCATAAGAACAATACTTTCTTCGGAACGGTAGGTACCCTTGTCCTTCTTTTCATCTCCTTCATATATTTGTCGATGGATTTTGTTGGGTATCCATTCCTACTAAGCAAGTTACGAATATTAACCAATAATATCATCCGAACAAATTCTAGTACGATGATTCAGGATCTCTATCAAGTTTCTTCTGTAGCTGATTGGTACCGCAATATAGAAATGAGTGTATTGTTCAGCTGTAGACTTTCAGTGTAACTCTCTTCAATGTTCCATCTGTTCGTATAGTTATTTGGACATCTATAGACGATATGCTATGTTCCTCTAGTGTAAAATTAATTGATGAATGAATGTTATTACATATATTATGTAAATTCTCCTCATCATGTTCTTTTTCTAATACTATGAAAGTATCGTCTATATAGCGACAATAAGAGGTTAAATGGGTAATTGTGTTTTTAAGTGGTCCATTTTCTAGTTTTGCAAGGAAAATATCTGCCAGCAAGGGACCCAACGGTGACTTCATGATATCATTAGATATATCGTCCTTATTCACTAACATTCCCCTACTTGGAACGATGGATTTGAATTTCTTTGTTTTTGCACCAAAAGCGCTCTTGTTGTGGTGTGTGCTACTTATGTAGACATAAGTAGTATATGATCGTTGTCGTGAACAGAATGTTTGGCAGCAGAGAGACAAGAAGACCGAACAGTAAATAATGAAGACAGCATGAAATTTGTGTGAAAATGCAAGAACAAATGAAGTCTGAATCATTTGAGACAATTGATGGACATTTTGCAAATTGAGTATTTAATATATGGTTGCTAGATTTTACTAACTAGTTCCTTATTCCAAGCTTGGACTCCTTCCTCCATTTAGCGGGGCTGGGACGCATCAAATAACTAGCTTATTGGTTTTTGATCACTGAGTCTTTTTTCCGTTCGCAGTTTAAGTGAACTCGTAACCGCTTCAAACATAGTATTAATAAAGACAGATTGCCTGAATTCGCCAAACCCATGTGTATTTATCGACTCAACTGCTCCTGTGGAGCCAGTTATATAGGGCGTACAATTCGACAAGTTCGTCATCGTATAACAGAACACCATCCGTCGTGGTTGAACAAAGGACAGGTAAGAGTGATGAAGAGTTCTATTCTCGCTCAATTGGTTGGAACAGTTCATCACGTTGAACTGCATAAAACTTTTAAGGTTACCCACTGTTAGTGGGACATAGATTGGATTTAAGCATGCTCAATGCACGATTGCTTTGGCGCACGCTGATTGGCTGATTCTTATCCAATCAGCGCTAGTCGATACATGGAGAAGACTCTAGATTCTTCTTATGTAAAAAGCAATAGATACACTAACGGTTTTCCTATTTTGCTTCTTGCTTCTTGCTTCACCTAACCTTGTTATTTGGAATATAATCTCCTTCCTGCTCAATCGTGTTCTGATTTGGGGCCTTGTCGAGTGAATCTGTGACCGTGAATACTAAGCGATAGGAACAGCTGGGTTATAACCGTAAGAGCGAAAATATAACAGTGGCGACGGGGAAAAAGGAAAATAAATTCAATATGTCCATATCAGACAACCAGCTTAACCGAATACTACAACAACAGCAACAACAATTAGATGCACAAATGCGGTTGTTAGAGACTCTGACTCAACAGCCCAACTTCCACTGCTCGAGTTCACATGCCATTTCAAGTACGTCTTGTGATGCAGTTTCTAGCAGCATACCAGAATTCATCTATGATCCCGAAAGCGGAAATACTTTTCTCACGTGGTTCAAACGTTGCGAAGATACATTTAGAATAGAATTCTGTAACCAAGACGACGCGTGGAAGACTCGACTGTTGGTACGTAAGTTAGGAATTAGTGAACATGCGCGCTATGCTGACCATATATTGCCTAAGTTACCTCGAGAGCTCAGTTTCGAGGAGACGATAATTCAATTGTCAGAGATATTCGGTGAATCCTCCTCATTGGTTAGTATTCGACATCAGTGTCTAAATTTGGTGAAACGCGAAGCCGATGAATATGGTGTTTTAGCAGACATCGTCAATAAAGAATTTGAACGGTTCAAGTTACGCTCGTTGACAGAAGACCAATTTAAATGCCTAATATTCATCAAAGCTTTTGAGTCACCACAAGATGCTGAGATCAGGACTAGACTTTTGGCTCGACTGGATCAAGACCCCAACGTCACACTCAGAACGTTGACAGATGAGTGTAAGCGGCTACAAAGCATCAGACACGACGAGTTGATTGAACATGTAAATCCTAATTTAACCTACAGTAGTGTCAATGTTAGTACTAGGTTAAAAGTTCAGAAGCCGATAACAACTCGTAACAAACCAAAGACTGCATGCTGGTTATGTGGTGATTGGCATTATGTACCATTTTGTCCATTTAAGAAGCATATATGTCAGGTGTGCAACAAACGTGGACATAAAGAAAGTCATTGTCCACCGAATCGTACGTCTCATCCCAAAAAGAAGCATAAACGTTCTCGACATGTGAAATCAGCCGAGCCTAACTCTTTCTTTGGTAGCTGCCTTTCAAACAAACTATGACATTCGGAGAAAGTATGTTACCATCCAGATAAACGGCATATCAGCTCGTCTTCAAATTGACACGGCATCAGATATCACCTTAGTATCTAGAGAAACGTATAACTTGCTGGGTAAACCGCCAATGAAGCCATCTAAGAAAACGGCCAAAAACGCATCAGGTGGTGTGCTAAAACTGGTTGGTGAATTACAATGTGAATTTTTCTTCAATGGAACTAACTGTACAGGAATATGTTACCTAACAGAACGGCCAAACCTTGATCTTCTTGGTCTAAATATGCTAGATAAACTTGGAATAATGGATGTACCGATTAATAGTGTCTGCAACGTATTGTGTTCATCATTAGACACCCCAGTACTTGCAAAGAAGACAGGTGAAAGGTTACTAGAAAAACTGAAAAGAAAGTTTGCCTCTGTTTTTCAGAATAGCCTTGGCCACTGTACCAAGATGAAAGTTCACTTACCATTGAAACCAGATGCCAAACCTATTTTTCGTCCGAGACGTCCTGTACCATATGCTGCTCTTGAGTTAGTCGATCAGGAACTTAATCGCTTGCAACAAGCTGGTGTAATCCAACCAGTCAACTACTCTGCATGGGCCACACCGATCGTAGTGATTAAGAAGGCGAATGGAACTATACGCATATGTGCCGATTTCTCGACCGGTTTAAATGCTACATTAGATGTGTATCAATATCCATTACCAGTTCCTGAAGACCTGTTTGCCAAACTTAATGGTGGGACATGTTTCGCGAAAATAGACTTTTCCGATGCCTATCTGCAAGTAGAAGTAGATGAAGACAGTAGAGAGCTTTTGACCATTAACACTCATCGAGGGTTATTTCAATACACCCGTCTACCATTTGGCATCAAGACTGCACCTGCCATCTTTCAGCAAATAATGGATACGATGCTAACAGGTATACCTGGTACAGCAGCTTATCTAGATGATATCATAGTTATGGGTTCAACTGACAATGAACTTTCTGACCGACTACATCAAGTCCTTAACCGAGTGTTGGAATATGGTTTCCAACTACGTGAGGAAAAGTGT